CACACACACATACACACACACACACACGCAGAGACACACACAAACATGCACACACACGCAGACTTACAGCCACATGCATAAAATGAAAAAAACAGTAATATAATAAAGAATAAAAATAAAAATGTTAAGCTAGATACATACTCAGTATTCTGATTGTAACTCAATGGTATCGTAATGCATGCTCTTAGGTAATGTGAATACTTATAGCAAGGTGTTTTAGAATGAAGAAGTTTGATGGATGATCTCTTGTGTTTCTCGAGACATTGGGGCAATGATTGTTGTCACAGACATCCAAACTTGTAGCGAAAACCCCGCATTGAGGGAGTGGTTGGAGGGTGTCACTGGTAGGTCCAACTTCTTTACTTTCCCTCTGTTGTTTTTGTCTGTGTGGGTGGTTGGAGGGCGCCACTGGTAGGTTCTACTTCTTTATTTTGTTGTTTCTGTCTGTGTGTGGGGGTGGTTGGAAGGTCCCAATGGTAAGTCCTACTTCTTTACTTTCCCTCTACTGCTTCTGTCTGTGTGGGTCGTTGGAGGGTGTCACTCGTAGGCCCTACTTCTTTTCTTTCCCTCTGTTGTTTCTGTCCGTGTGGGTGGTTGGAGGGTGTCACTGGTAGGTCCTACTTCTTTACTTTCCCTCTGTTGTTTCTGCCTATCTACTTTGCTTCTCCCCTGCATTATATGACTGCTACTGAGCCTATGTGTTTCTCTTTACACCAACTCAAACCCCAGAAGTGATTTCTAAAGACAGAGATAATAAGTACATCCTGACATCCGCCGTTGAATCACTTCCGGGTACACAAAGCTACGCTGGTATAGCACGGGGATCAACGGTGGTAGGGAGAAACGCACAAGTCACAGCCAGGGTGTTCTAGACGCACTACAGGATCATGTCAAACACTGCTCGCCACAGACGTGGAGCAGGGACAGGGGGCGTCAAGAAACTTTGGGGGAGATAGCAAACTACTTTTGGGAAGATAGTAAACTACTTTTGGGAAGATAGTAAACTACTTTGGGGAGATAGCAAACTACTTTTGAGAAGATAGTAAACTACTTTTGGGAAGATAGCGAACTACTTTCTGGAAGATAGCAAATTACATTCGGAAAGATAGATAACTTTCGAGAAGATAGCAAACAGTTTTTGGGAAGACAGCAAACTTTCGGGAAGATATCAAACTACTTTCGGGAAGATAGCAAACTGCTTTCGGGAAGATAGCAAAGATTCGGGAAGATAGCAAAATTTTGGGAAGATAGCAAACTACTTTTGGGAAGATAGCAAACTTTCGGGAAGTTAGCAAATTTTAGGGAAGATATCAAACTACTTTCGGGAAGATAGATAACTTTCGAGAAGATAGCAAACAGTTTTTGGGAAGATAGCAAACTACTTTTGGGAAGATAGCAAACTACTTTTGGGAAGATAGCAAACTACTTTCGGGAAGATAGCAAACTTTCAGGAAGTTAGCAAATTTTAGGGAAGATATCAAACTACTTTCGGGAAGATAGCAAACTACTTTCGGGAAGATAGCAAACTTTCGGGAAGATAGCAAAATTTCGAGAAGATAGCAAACTACTTTCGGGAAGATAGCAAACTTTCGGGAAGATATCAAACTACTTTCGGGAAGATAGCAAACTGCTTTCGGGAAGATAGCAAAGATTCGGGAAGATAGCAAAATTTTGGGAAGATAGCAAACTACTTTTGGGAAGATAGCAAACTTTCGGGAAGTTAGCAAATTTTAGGGAAGATATCAAACTACTTTCGGGAAGATAGATAACTTTCGAGAAGATAGCAAACAGTTTTTGGGAAGATAGCAAACTACTTTTGGGAAGATAGCAAACTACTTTCGGGAAGATAGCAAACTTTCAGGAAGTTAGCAAATTTTAGGGAAGATATCAAACTACTTTCGGGAAGATAGCAAACTACTTTCGGGAAGATAGCAAACTTTCGGGAAGATAGCAAAATTTCGAGAAGATAGCAAACTACTTTCGGGAAGATAGCAAACTTTCGGGAAGATATCAAACTACTTTCGGGAAGATAGCAAACTACTTTCGGAAAGATAGCAAAATTTGGAGTGAGTAAACTGGTCAAAGCGGAAAGAAATCTACCTAAAACTAAACTTACGTCTCGAAACTTCCCCCGTCGAACAAGTCTGCCTATGAGTCCTAGTTTAGGCACACCTTATGGTGCCGGACCGAGAAACAGAGAAGCGCATGAGGAAAACGTGAATAGATGGGTGACAGGGAAAGATCTGGATGATATCAGGGGTTGTTGAGAACATCCGAGGGGAGAAAGTAAATGAAGAACCATGATGGCCGATGACATCTGCCTCAGATCTTGCACTTGATGATGATGTCGATGTGTTATTGGAAGCAGGCTGTGTAGTATGTGGCTGCTCCACCTGTCATCTCTGATACATTTTGTCCTAAACAGGGCGTTGTCGAGTCCTTTTTCTTTTACTATAGGTGTTTTTACGTCCCAATCAACACAGTTTAGATCATTCAGGAAGCGGAGGTTCGTCCCTGATTGTCTTAGCCTACCCGGGCTGAGAGGGATACAGCATCCCAACAGAAAGACCGAGATACAAAAAAACGTTCTCCCAACTCGCAAATCGAACCCTCGTCTCCGAGGTACAACAGCAAAGCGCCAAACCACTGCTACACCAAGGAGGCCGGTAAATTAAAACATCATAAATAAAATGTCATTGGTTTGCAACTGTACAATTGTAGCGACGCCTGTGAATACATAATAATCAGTTTCGAAGATTGAATCTTTCAGTTTGCCTATGTCAAATCGCTACTCTAAAATTGCACACTTCTATCTGCTGAGTACTTACTTTTGAAAATTTGACTTTAAGGGGGGAGGGGGGCTACACCTGGAGGCTATCTCGCTTATTACTGGACCGAATTTTACCAAATTTCACACATATAACAAGCATAGCAAGGAGTCTT